ACAAAAATATAGCCACATGGTGTTTGCTCACTGGTGTTTGAAGGATAATTTTAGAAAACTGTTATAAAAACTGTATATACACATATGCACATATCTTGCAACCTGTAATTAGGGGTGGATGTTGCTGTCCGATCCTGATCTTGATGTAACTAGAATATATACACATATGCACAACAAACACCACAGGAAGTACGGCATCCTCCCCTTAATAAAGAATTACTAAATTTAAATTTCATAGTGAATTACTTTCTATTCCATTTACTATTTTCTCTTTCTATTTTGTAACGAACACAATGTCAATCGCTAACTCGGTCAATATCTTCAAGCTGGCCCAAAGGGAAATTGCCTGTGGAACAAGTTCCCACAGCCAGAAAACTGCTTTTTTTGCAGCGAAATGCTACACATGTAGGCATTTTTACTGCGTGTCTCCATGGGAGTGGGGCGTACCAGCATGGCAGATGGTGGCTTCACTTCTTTTGGGCAATCAGCAATCCAGTGATTAGAGATCAGTGGGTTAAGGGTCTCGCTCAGAGACCCAGACTGCAGGCTATGGGGATCGAACCAGGTTTTTGCAACCTTCTCAGAGCACATGCACACTGCTCTAACCACTAGGTCAGGGGTCTTCAAAGTTTTCCAGGTCAAGGTCCTCCAAACTGATGGTTAGATGGAGGGGGGACCCCCTAATTATATATATTGTATGAAATTGTGTTATCAAACTGGTCCTATAGTCAGACTATTACAGATGGAGAAATGTAACGAAAGTCATTTCTCCCTGGGATTATTAAAGTATTTTTTACTCAGATTCCTGGTTGATGGGACAGGTGTTGTAAATGAAACGGTGCCCAACTTGAAATAGCTCCTGTGTGTGGCTGAATTTGTGCATTGATGTCTGAAGGACATCTTCTGCCTCCATTTATCTGTTTACTACAGTGTGTTGAATTCGTGTTAATGTGGATTTAAAGACATTTCAATTAGTCGGAAAATTGCAGGGTGGGAATGTAGAAAAAAAAAAAAAATCAACCAAAACTACCGCGATCTGATGCAGTACCTCCATGGACGCGCTGTTGAAGATCTCCACACTAGGTCAACACTCCCCACTGATCTGTGTTTTTCCATGATTCTAGCACTGGGCTGAATGTAAATGCTACACCTCTCCTTGAGGCTGAACTCAACCAACTCTTGGAAAACAAAGGAGGGCTCGAAGTTTCAGATTATGGGCATTTTGGGAACCTGATGCTTGGGGAGAGATGCGAGCTGGTCCTGTGGATACAGTGAGTTGGCCTTTAGTCATTTTTGTGTAAATGTCAACACTCTGAGAAAGTTCTGTTATTTTGCACCCCTTTGTCTCTTTTTCCATAACAGAAATAAAGGCTCTGAGCCTCAGACATTGGAGCGCTGTAACTTTGCTGGTTGGGACTCCACAGAGCAGTTCACCATAGTTACTGTCGGCACGTCCACATCACCCAAAAGGAAGCAGCAACCTGTTTCCCAAAGTGGCTCAAAGTTGACAGAAAACAAAGAAGGAGATGCAAAGGAGGAAGAGGGAAAAAATGGTGCAATGGAGACAGCCACAGTTCAATCCCCTGAGGCTGAAGAGGAGGGGAGAGAGGTGGAAATATCGCCTGGAGGAAGAGTGTCTGTTGTTATCGCCTGCAAAGCAAAGTAAGATCTCCTTAAAAATGTGGAGTTATGCACACATATTTTAATTTGTATTGTTTGAAAGTTTGACACGTTCCAACATAACTCTTCAATATATTTAATGGAAATCAAAAGAAATCGTCTGTCACTACATGGTGCATAACTGATACATGGGAAGAAGGATGATTCATTCTTTTTATGCAAATAAGGATCAGAAAAGTGTCGCATACATTAGTAATCAGCTTCACTTAGTCGGTACTCTTCAGAACAAGCTTTTATTTCAGCTCCATCTCTTTGTCTCTGCCAAACATGGAACCATTAGAGCATCAAAGTCATTTTAATATCTTCCACTCCTGCATCAAGTCTTTAAAAGGCCTGTTTGCAGCTGTATAAGTGAAACTTTGTTTCATTATTCCATTTATAAAGATCACTCTACACAGGTATTATAAATTTACTCCTATTTTTATTTTTAGCCCCTTACAAAGAACACATTCACACAACACACCTTTTTAACCAAATAACCCAGTGAGATTCCTGCTTAGTAAGACTGAATGAATTAAGCCTCGGCACAAATATTTAAATTGGATTTAGGTCTTCCTAAACCCCTACCCTTGTTACTATAATTTTAGGGCTGCTCAATAAAGGAGCATCTATATACCATGATAGACTCCCAAAAGGTATCAATAGAAAATATGACTATAAAATTTTTATTCTGGGGGTTGTAGGCAAAGAGAAAATAAAGCTCTCATTGTAAAACAAAGCAAAGTTGGTTGGGAAAAAACAAAGTGCTGTCCCCTTTTTTTGAAGGTTACATTTAAATTTTTGAAATTAGGCTCTCCCCCTTTTCTGAAATAGGCTAACACTAGGGCTGCAACTACAATCATTTTGTAAATAGATTAATCTGTCGACTATTTTTTCTATTTACCGGATAGCCAAAAGTTCCTTAAAGGAGACTTTTTATGCAATTAAGCCAAGTGAAAATAAAACGTTTCCACTTGGGAGTTCTTGGAGTGTATTTACAGACAAAAGAAGTTTTCTCATCTTAAATTCAATCTTTTTATATATATTTTTTTTAACAATTTAGATTTAATTACTGCTCTAAGTTGGTTGCTCTGTCAGTTAAAGGCATGTTATATAGTCTCTATACTCCGTTTAACAATTAATCGATTGCTAAATTAGTTGACCGTTATTTCCATTATCGATTAATCCGATTAAATAGTTTCAGCCCTAGTTAACACTAATCCAAAATGGCTGATATCAATTGATGTGCAATATGTTTCAGTTGTATCAAACAGCCCTACTATGTGCCCTACTATATGCTTGACCTAAAGCTCCTTCTTTTGTTTGCTATATCTACAAGTCTTGTTACAAACATCAACAGCTTGTTGCACTATTGAAGCTATACTTTTAACCTTTTCGCTCCTCTTCAGCGTTCATGACTAGTAGTTATCCTGTTCAAAGATCATCCAACTCTAACTGCGATCTCAGAGTTATTGAGGGACTATGAACTGAACGAAGCTTTGGATATTGTTTTTAAATACCTGACCCACACATGCACTTTTCTTTTCTTTTTTTTCCTTCAACTTTTAAACACTTCTACATATTTGACTCTTTCCTCAGGAGCATTGGAGGCTGTACTGAGCTGCTGTTGCTGCATTTCTCTTCTTTCACCATTGGGAGGTATCTGCTGGTTAAAGTGGGCAGTGAGGATGAAGACTTGCTGAAGCCCTCTCAGGTCTATTGTCCCCAAAATCCCGTGCTGCTCACTAAAGCAGCCTCACATGTGGTCACCGTATCTGCTCCAAAAGTTGCACGAAGGTATCAGATCATTTGAACACTTTCTAATGAATAAGTGATGCTCAGTGTTGGGGAAAGTTATATTATTTATCATAAATAAACATGGAATTTAATATTATGTATTTGTTTGTTCATTCATCAATGTATTTAGAATTGTTCATGGTTAGGTTTGCACGGACTTCTCACTCATTATGTCATTCTCATGTCGAACCATCACCTGATTCTTCTCTTAACCTTTTTTTTTTTTTTTTTTGCATATTGGCTGTTTGGTGTTTTTCATAATGATTCACATAATTTAATGTTTTAGTTTGGGTTTATTTTTAAACCGTAAGAAACACTTTAAGTAGAATAAAAATGAATTTTTAATTTTAGCTATATGGTCTTTTAAGTTGGGTGAACTCAACGACTGATGTTTTCTATTTTCTGGAAGGATGAGGTTGTTAGCTTAAGATTAACCATCCTTGTTTGGCTCTAATTTTGCTCAGGCTCAGCAAGCGACGGTTAACAAACTTCCTGCCAGGATTTCCGGTGCCAAATGCTCTGAGGGACTGTGTGGAGTTGAATAAGGATGTGCTGGCTGTTCAGCCTTGTTTGGGAGAGGTGAGAAGGGTCATGAGTAAATTTGGAGATTACAGCCCTTAAAAAGATTTGGTATGGCTACTGCCAAAAATCTGATTCAGAAACACTAATGGCAGTGTCCTATTTATCACTTAAAAAGACCAAATTTGGCTTTTGGTGTCCTGGATTCTGCAAACTGAATTAAGTTTTCCTCAATTAGAAAAGGGATGTCTCTCAAGTCTTTTACATGGTTTGTTTTTAATCAGCTAAGAAACGCACTGCTAAAAAAAACCAAAAAAAAAAATGCATAAACACAATATAACTTAATTTAAATCAAACTTCTGTGTAATCAAACTGCGCAGTTATGAAGCAACACTTGCTGCTGTGCGAATGGAATAGACTACAGGTGGAAAGTGGCAAGATACAATACAGGAGTGGTTCTGCAGGTGGGGACCACTGACCACTTTTCTGCACCTATGCTTTCTGTTTAATGTTTTGGTCACTTGACTGTTGGTGGTGCTTTCACACTTGTGTAGGTTGTAGAATCTGTCTTATTCTGCCACAAGTGGCTCAGGTAGTGCAGCTCATTCAGGATGGCACATCAATATGAGCTGTAGCAAGAAGGTTTGCTGTGTTTGTCAGCGTAGGTGCTGGAGGCTCTTAACAGGAGACGGGCCAGTGTGCTCACACCCCAACACTTTGCAGGCTTGGCATTAGCCAGAGAACACCAGGACTGACAAATTTGCCTCTGGTGTTTTGTGCTCTCTATAGATGAAAGCAGGTTCACCTTCAGCACAGACGAACGTTACAGTCTGTAGACACCGTGGAGAGCCATCTGCTGCCTCCGGTTTGGCAGCGGGTCTCTACAGATGTTGGTTATAATTTCTCTGGGGTGCTGCACAGCCCTCCATGTGCTCTCCAGAGGTAGCCTGACTGCCATTAAGTGCTGAGATGAGATCCTCAGACCCCTTGTAAAACACATGCTGGTGCTTTTGGCCCCGAGTCCCTCCTAATGCTGGACAATGTTAGACCTCATGTGGCTGGAGTGTGTCAGCAGTTCCTGCAAGATGAAGGAATTGGAGCTATGGACTGGCCCGCCGGTTCCCCAGACCTGAATCTGATTGAGCACATCTGGCACACATGTCTCGCTCTATCCACCAATGTCGTGTTGCACCACAGACTTTCCAGGATTTGGCAGATGCTTTAGTCCAGTGGAAGCCACACACAATACTCAGCCTCACTTTGACCTCTTTTAATGGACAGTACATCAAAGTCTGATCAGCCTGTATTCTGGTTTTTCACTTCACTTTGGTGTGCGACTCAAAATCCTGAACTTTATTTGTCTCATTTCCATTGACTTTTTTTTTTTTTTTTGCTGATTTTGTTGTCAGCACATTCATTTTGGAACAGAAAAAAAGTGTTCAGACAATATTGCATTCATTAACATCAATGATGTTATTTAAGAGTTCCCTTTATTTTTGAACAGTGTGTATTTCAGATCAAATAACAAACTCCTATCCTCTGATATCCAGGTTCTCTCACCGTCCAACATGCATTCACGGTTCTCAACCCTTCTTTGGCTTGAAGAGCTGAACGCAGAAAGGGAACTACAAGAGTTTACTATCAGAGGAGCTCTTCTTCGCAAAGGAGCCAGCTACCTGCACCTTGAGGTGGTTGGGTTGGCTGAAGGGAGACCTAATCTAAACATAGGTGATGTTGCATTCCTGCATGGCTGTTAATTGAATAGCAGAGTTTGGTTCACTGTATTGCTCCACAGGGGACAAAGTTTCTCTGAAGAAACTGCAGAGTGATGGTTTGGAGATGGAGTATATCGGTTACGTCGTTGAGGTGAGCTGGTTTGATGCTCCGGAAAATCTCTTAAGACATTTTCTGTTTTAGTCTCATGGTTTTACGCTCTTACTCAGATTAATGGGGAGGATGTTGGTCTGAGAGTGAATTCAGGGTTTCACAGCAGCTACCTCGGTGAGCCGCTTGATGTGGAGTTCAGCTTAAATCGGTAAGGAGAAGAAACATCACTGAAGTGTGATGATTTAATCTGTTTTTTGGTTTGGTTTTTGTTCATCTACACCATATTCAAGTTTATTTCTGTTTTTAGGCTAACCATGAGGCGATGTCATCAGGCTCTTGAACTGACAAAACATTTTCATGAGAGTGAGTTTTTGTTTTTCTTTGTAGAATTTGATTTTTGGTTGCAGATTATTAATTATATACATTTTTTGGTTTTTCAAACCCATTTACTGGGTCTCTAATTGTTTATAGATATAATTTTCAGATAACAATTTTCAGCAGTAATATTAATCAGTGGTGGCTGTTGTTTGACACAAGAAACATAATGGCAAGTGTTGTTTTAATATAAATGACAACATATAGCCTAAAATGTAAATGTCCTGAAAACCACTTTCCAAATGAATNTTTTATGAAATTAAGCCAAGTGAAAATAAAACATTTCCACTTGGGAGTTCTTGGAGTGTATTTACAGACAAAATAAGTTTTCTCATCTTAAATTCAATCTTTTTATATATATTTTTTTTAACAATTTAGATTTAATTACTGCTCTAAGTTGGTTGCTCTGTCAGTTAAAGGCATGTTATATAGTCTCTATACTCCGTTTAACAATTAATCGATTGCTAAATTAGTTGACCGTTATTTCCATTATCGATTAATCCGATTAAATAGTTTCAGCCCTAGTTAACACTAATCCAAAATGGCTGATATCAATTGATGTGCAATATGTTTCAGTTGTATCAAACAGCCCTACTATGTGCCCTACTATATGCTTGACCTAAAGCTCCTTCTTTTGTTTGCTATATCTACAAGTCTTGTTACAAACATCAACAGCTTGTTGCACTATTGAAGCTATACTTTTAACCTTTTCGCTCCTCTTCAGCGTTCATGACTAGTAGTTATCCTGTTCAAAGATCATCCAACTCTAACTGCGATCTCAGAGTTATTGAGGGACTATGAACTGAACGAAGCTTTGGATATTGTTTTTAAATACCTGACCCACACATGCACTTTTCTTTTCTTTTTTTTCCTTCAACTTTTAAACACTTCTACATATTTGACTCTTTCCTCAGGAGCATTGGAGGCTGTACTGAGCTGCTGTTGCTGCATTTCTCTTCTTTCACCATTGGGAGGTATCTGCTGGTTAAAGTGGGCAGTGAGGATGAAGACTTGCTGAAGCCCTCTCAGGTCTATTGTCCCCAAAATCCCGTGCTGCTCACTAAAGCAGCCTCACATGTGGTCACCGTATCTGCTCCAAAAGTTGCACGAAGGTATCAGATCATTTGAACACTTTCTAATGAATAAGTGATGCTCAGTGTTGGGGAAAGTTATATTATTTATCATAAATAAACATGGAATTTAATATTATGTATTTGTTTGTTCATTCATCAATGTATTTAGAATTGTTCATGGTTAGGTTTGCACGGACTTCTCACTCATTATGTCATTCTCATGTCGAACCATCACCTGATTCTTCTCTTAACCTTTTTTTTTTTTTTTTTTGCATATTGGCTGTTTGGTGTTTTTCATAATGATTCACATAATTTAATGTTTTAGTTTGGGTTTATTTTTAAACCGTAAGAAACACTTTAAGTAGAATAAAAATGAATTTTTAATTTTAGCTATATGGTCTTTTAAGTTGGGTGAACTCAACGACTGATGTTTTCTATTTTCTGGAAGGATGAGGTTGTTAGCTTAAGATTAACCATCCTTGTTTGGCTCTAATTTTGCTCAGGCTCAGCAAGCGACGGTTAACAAACTTCCTGCCAGGATTTCCGGTGCCAAATGCTCTGAGGGACTGTGTGGAGTTGAATAAGGATGTGCTGGCTGTTCAGCCTTGTTTGGGAGAGGTGAGAAGGGTCATGAGTAAATTTGGAGATTACAGCCCTTAAAAAGATTTGGTATGGCTACTGCCAAAAATCTGATTCAGAAACACTAATGGCAGTGTCCTATTTATCACTTAAAAAGACCAAATTTGGCTTTTGGTGTCCTGGATTCTGCAAACTGAATTAAGTTTTCCTCAATTAGAAAAGGGATGTCTCTCAAGTCTTTTACATGGTTTGTTTTTAATCAGCTAAGAAACGCACTGCTAAAAAAAACCAAAAAAAAAAATGCATAAACACAATATAACTTAATTTAAATCAAACTTCTGTGTAATCAAACTGCGCAGTTATGAAGCAACACTTGCTGCTGTGCGAATGGAATAGACTACAGGTGGAAAGTGGCAAGATACAATACAGGAGTGGTTCTGCAGGTGGGGACCACTGACCACTTTTCTGCACCTATGCTTTCTGTTTAATGTTTTGGTCACTTGACTGTTGGTGGTGCTTTCACACTTGTGTAGGTTGTAGAATCTGTCTTATTCTGCCACAAGTGGCTCAGGTAGTGCAGCTCATTCAGGATGGCACATCAATATGAGCTGTAGCAAGAAGGTTTGCTGTGTTTGTCAGCGTAGGTGCTGGAGGCTCTTAACAGGAGACGGGCCAGTGTGCTCACACCCCAACACTTTGCAGGCTTGGCATTAGCCAGAGAACACCAGGACTGACAAATTTGCCTCTGGTGTTTTGTGCTCTCTATAGATGAAAACAGGTTCATATTCAGCACAGACGAACGTTACAGTCTGGAGACACCGTGGAGAGCCATCTGTACTGATGTGAGGTATCATTTCTCTGGAGTGCTGCACAGCCCTCCATGTGCTCTCCAGAGGTAGCCTGACTGCCATTAAGTGCTGAGATGAGATCCTCAGACCCCTTGTAAAACACATGCTGGTGCTTTTGGCCCCGAGTTCCTCCTAATGCTGGACAATGTTAGACCTCATGTGGCTGGAGTGTGTCAGCAGTTCCTGCAAGATGAAGGAATTGGAGCTATGGACTGGCCCGCCGGTTCCCCAGACCTGAATCTGATTGAGCACATCTGGCACACATGTCTCGCTCTATCCACCAATGTCGTGTTGCACCACAGACTTTCCAGGATTTGGCAGATGCTTTAGTCCAGTGGAAGCCACACACAATACTCAGCCTCACTTTGACCTCTTTTAATGGACAGTACATCAAAGTCTGATCAGCCTGTATTCTGGTTTTTCACTTCACTTTGGTGTGCGACTCAAAATCCTGAACTTTATTTGTCTCATTTCCATTGACTTTTTTTTTTTTTTTTGCTGATTTTGTTGTCAGCACATTCATTTTGGAACAGAAAAAAAGTGTTCAGACAATATTGCATTCATTAACATCAATGATGTTATTTAAGAGTTCCCTTTATTTTTGAACAGTGTGTATTTCAGATCAAATAACAAACTCCTATCCTCTGATATCCAGGTTCTCTCACCGTCCAACATGCATTCACGGTTCTCAACCCTTCTTTGGCTTGAAGAGCTGAACGCAGAAAGGGAACTACAAGAGTTTACTATCAGAGGAGCTCTTCTTCGCAAAGGAGCCAGCTACCTGCACCTTGAGGTGGTTGGGTTGGCTGAAGGGAGACCTAATCTAAACATAGGTGATGTTGCATTCCTGCATGGCTGTTAATTGAATAGCAGAGTTTGGTTCACTGTATTGCTCCACAGGGGACAAAGTTTCTCTGAAGAAACTGCAGAGTGATGGTTTGGAGATGGAGTATATCGGTTACGTCGTTGAGGTGAGCTGGTTTGATGCTCCGGAAAATCTCTTAAGACATTTTCTGTTTTAGTCTCATGGTTTTACGCTCTTACTCAGATTAATGGGGAGGATGTTGGTCTGAGAGTGAATTCAGGGTTTCACAGCAGCTACCTCGGTGAGCCGCTTGATGTGGAGTTCAGCTTAAATCGGTAAGGAGAAGAAACATCACTGAAGTGTGATGATTTAATCTGTTTTTTGGTTTGGTTTTTGTTCATCTACACCATATTCAAGTTTATTTCTGTTTTTAGGCTAACCATGAGGCGATGTCATCAGGCTCTTGAACTGACAAAACATTTTCATGAGAGTGAGTTTTTGTTTTTCTTTGTAGAATTTGATTTTTGGTTGCAGATTATTAATTATATACATTTTTTGGTTTTTCAAACCCATTTACTGGGTCTCTAATTGTTTATAGATATAATTTTCAGATAACAATTTTCAGCAGTAATATTAATCAGTGGTGGCTGTTGTTTGACACAAGAAACATAATGGCAAGTGTTGTTTTAATATAAATGACAACATATAGCCTAAAATGTAAATGTCCTGAAAACCACTTTCCAAATGAATTTTAGCTTGCTGAGTACCC